AAAAAAAAAAAAAAAAAAAACAAAAAAAAAAAAAACAGCAAATCTGGTAAGGTGGTGTACACCTATAATTACAGCACTGGAGAAGTTGAGGCAAGAGAATTTGAACTCAAATTTGAAAGGACTAGAAAGCAGGGAAGAATGAAGAAAAAAAGGTGGAAAAAAAATCTACTGTGGAAAACTATTTTTCCTATCAGTGGTAGTCAGTTCCACAAGGGCCCATAGTCCCTGAACCTCCTCCTTTCTCTTCTCCATTAGCCAATCATATCAGATTGTGAAGTTGAGTGTCTACCAATGGGATAAGACACAAGTCATCACCTGAGTTAAGGATAAAAGACAACAGGCCATCTTGGCATTGTGTGCTGGCTAGCTAGGTGGGCTAAAGGGTATCCATCCGTTTTGCAAAAGGAAACTGCCTTAACAAGTTATTTTTCCTTTGTTCCTATGCTCCTTTATGTGACAACAACTGCTACCCAGAATCTTACACTAAACTTCCCTGTTCCTCAATATCCACATTCAAAGAGGCATCTCTTTAGTTCTAAGATTAGAGACCATTCCTCTCCTACCTTCTTCAATCTCCCACTACCTCCCACCATAAGCTTGTTTTCAGAATGCTACAATTTGGATAAGTATCTCCTGCTGACCCATGTGTTTAGCCACCTACCTGTGGTACTACTGGGGAATGATAGGACCTTTAAGAGATAGAGCTTGGAGGGAGGGAAGGAGAAAGGAAGGAAGGGACAGAGAGATGAAGGAAGACCATCAGTGATATGAAACTGTAGGAAATGTTGGGATCCTAGCCCCTTTCTCTTAGCTTCCTACATAAGTTGAGTAGCTTCCTCTGCTACAGTCTCATGATACACTGCCAAAAAGCAATGGAGCAAAGCAACCATGCACTAAAGCCTGAGACCCCAGCCAAAATACACCACTCTTCTCTAACAGATACCTCAGGCTATCACAGTGACAGAAAGCTAACATGTAGCAGGGCAGTGGTGGCGCACGCCTTTAGTCTCAGCACTCCAGAAGCAGAAGCAGGCAGATCTCTTTGAGTTCGAGACCAGCCTGGTCTACAAGAGCGAGTTCCAGGACAGCCTCCAAAGCCACAGAGAAACCCTGTCTCGAAAAACCAGAAAGAAAAGAAAAGAAAAAAGAAAGCTTACATGTATAATGAAAGGTCATGTTTTAAAACCTAGTAGGTATAAGCAAAGTGACACAAGTTCCTATCACTGGTTCAAATTCTCCTTCAGCACCATGTCCCAATAGTCTTAGGCCTGCCATCTGTGTTCTTACCCACCTGATAATAAGCACCAGCGGCATTGGCATCGCCATATGTGGAAAACTGATTGTAGCTGTAGTCATCCCCGGGCTTTGGCATCCAGGGGGCCCCACTTGACCCTGCTGCCATCTTAAACTCAAGGGGAGCATTGGCCGCATCGTCCTGGAAAGCTGGCTCTGGTTCTGTGCCTGGAGGCAGCTCTTCAGGAACAGTGGGGACAGGGTAAGGGTATGGCTCAACTCCAGGTGGCTCAGCCTTGTCAGGGAGGGAGAAAAAGTTCTCAGGAGCAACTTCCTCATCACTGTCGTCATCCTCCTGTGTGATTTGCTTTGTCACCTGCAGGGCAGCACTCTTGGCAGCAGCCTTGATGGCAGAGGGTGATGGAGTGGTGGTTGTGGTGCCCAAAACAGGAGCAAGTGAGGCGGGCTTGGTCTTAGAAGCCAGTCTAGAGGGCTTAGCATCTGAGGAGACATCTGAGGGTTTCCGGGAGAAGGCATGGGGCAGGAGCAACCTGTTAGTCTCTTTCACAGTCAGGTTTTTAGGTTGGGGGAGCAAGGCAGACAAACCAGTCCCCTCGCCGGATCCCTAGTGAGCCCAGGTTTGAAATGAGAGGGAAGAAAGACAAGTGAGACTTTGTTATGCACTAACAACAATGACAAACAAGATCATAGTTCTGTGCTTCTCCTGAGACCCTCACAGCCCCTGAGGCCTCGTAACCTCCATGCACTCAGGCCCCTGTTCTGGGACTTTCTGTAGTTGTTCCTTCCACAATCAGAGGCCATGCCCCATCTCAGCTCTCTCCAGCCTAGTTCCACAATTACCTGCCACAGATCCTACCCCAACTTCATGTCTTCAGCAAACACAGTGCCCTCAATCTCACATTATCCCTTCTACTTAAAAAAACTTAAGTCTCGGCAGGCAGTGGTGGTGCACACCTTTAATCCCAGCACTCAGGAGGCAGAGGCAGGCAGATCTCTTTTGGTTCAAGGCCAGCCTGGTCTACAGAGCGAGTGCCAGGATAGGCTCCAAAGCTACACAGAGAAACCCTGTCTTGGGAAAAAAACAAACAAACAAACAAACAAAAAACAGACAAACTAAGTCTCAGGAATGGAGAGACAGCTCAGTGGTTAGGAATACTGACTGCTCTTACAAGGGACCAGGGTTCAATTCCTAACACCCACATGGCAGCTTACAACTGTCTTTAACTTCAGTTCTAGAAGACCTAACACCTTCACACAGACATACATGCAGGCAAACACCAATGCACATAAAATTTTTAAAAATTTTTTAAAAAGGGAGGGGGGCTGGAGAGATAGCTCAGAGGTTAAGAGCACTGACTGTTCTTCTAGAGGTCATGAGTTCAATTCCCAGCAACCACATGGTGGCTCACAACTATCGGTTATTTTGAGATCTGGTGCTCTTTTCCGGCCTGCAGGCATACATCCAGGCAGAACATTATATACATAATAAAAAAATCTTTAAACAAACAAACAAACAAAAAACCCAAAATTAAATCTTGAGGCCAGAGAAATGATTCAGGGATCAAGAGCACTAGTTCATCTGCCAGACAAGCAGGATTTAGTTACCAGCACCTACGCTGCGCTGCAGCTCACAACTTCCACTAACTCCAGCTGCAGGGGATCCAATGCCCTCTTCTGACCTCAGCAGGCACCAGGCATACGTGTGGTACAAATATGTATAGATGCAAGCAAACAGTCATACACATAAAATGAAAATAAATATTAAAAAATCAAAAACAAGCTGGTCGTTGGTGGTGCACGCCATTAATCCCAGCACTTGGGAGGCAGAGGCGGGCAGATCTCTGTGAGTTCGAGACCAGCCTGGTCTACAGAGCGAGTGCCAGGACAGGCTCCAAAGTCACGCAGAGAAACCCTGTCTCAAAAAAACAAAACAAAACAAAAAAACCTGATACTCACTTCTCCCCACTTTGAACTGGTAATGATTCAAGCTCCCCCTGCCAACCCTCCCAAGGAAAGAAAGCCCTCTACTAGCTAATGCCAGAATCAAGCACTCACTAATTGGCCCCACCCATCCAGAGTTCCTCTGACTCATATGAATTGCTACGATTCTGCTTTCTGTATGCTGAAGGGCCAGCCTGTCCTAAGTGTAGGGAGGTATCAATAGGAAAAGGAGAATGGAATAAGGTCACTGTGTCACTGTCCTGAAGCACAGAAATGCACAGAACGAGTTAGACAGGACTTTTGAGGCAAGCAGGCCAGGCAGAGGAGAGGTGTTCACTTGGAGAAGGGCCCTTCTCACTACTCTCTAGTTTACAGTATCAGAGGGAGGTGCTGGGTATAGCAGGCTGAGAGCACTGCTTAGGCCACCTTAGAAGTGCTCGCCTTCTCAGCACCTTCTGGGATCATGGCTACATCTCTTTACAGGGCCAGGTTCCCACTCTGCTTTCATGGGTCACCTGTTTGTACTCATCTTTTTTCACCATCTGAAACACAGCCTTTCACGGAAGTCTACCTTCTCCAGGAAGCCATCTGACAAGGGAGTCACTGGCCTCACTCTGTCTCATCATCCTGGCTTGCTTCTTCAGTGCCTTTTCCTTCAGCACTAACTATCAACATACACACCATACCAGCCTCACCAATAGTCTTTTGACTTTCATGCGACCCTGTCCTAAGACCTATCAAAACTAGAAATGATACCTCAACAAAGTGAAGAGAAGAGACAGCTTCAACACTGCCTATGTGAATTCAAAAAAACAAGACAAAACAAAATCCCATATAAGGCAGGACTTTTCCCCAATATAGAAGAGGAACATGAAATCAGATATTGAATAAAACATCAAGTGTGGGCCGGGAGTTGGTGGCACACGCCTTTAATCCCAGCACCGGGGAGGCAGAGGCAGGCCCAGAACTCTGTGAGTTCGAGACCAGCCTGGTATCCAGAGCAAGTACCAGGATAGGCTCCAAAGCTACACAGAGAAACCCTGTCTCGAAAAACCAAAAAAAAAAAAAAAATCAAGTGTAGAGGCAACTAGAAGATACTCAGAGCCAGACTAAAGATGCTGAGATGTGTGGTAACCAGCAAATGGCAGGGAGGTCACTCAGTTTAGACTTCTGGTTTTGACTGCAAAGAAGGAGCCAAGTACAACAGTTACTTGGACTCTCCAGGGCTGGACTTGAACTCTGAAGTCAGCAGAGCAGACACAGGTGTAATCCCAGCTCCACCCACATTAGTTGTCTAACTTTGAGCAAATTCCTCAGTTTCCCTCGTAAACTAGGATGATCATAACCCAGGATTTAGGCTCTATAGTGCAAACGGAATCTGCTAGACACAGGTAAACCATAGAATGGTAACTGGTACAAAGTAAGTGCAGTTTGAGTACCTATTTTCTGGTTAGAAACACAACAGGAAGAACAGGCAATTTTATAACACAGGAGCTCCTTATCATCATCTGACCAACCTACTTACACCCTCCCTAAACAATCCTTCTACTTGAAATGTAATGAACTCAATTAAGTTACAGTTCCTGTTCCTACCATTGCCTGTCCTTCCAGAAGTCAACTCCACTGTGCTAATGCCAAGAAAAAATGAGAAAGAGGGGTGCATTAGACTCAAAGCTACATCGGAAACCAAAGTCAGACCAAAACAGTCCTCAAATACCTGCAAACGTGCTAGCCCTCAAATGAAAACCTTTGGGCACTTTAAGTCCCATCTTTCTAGAAACAATACAGAAAGAGAAGGAAGAGCTATGGTACATCAAGCTTACCTGGAGGACAATTTTCTTCTTTGCAGGTTCATCTTCATCAGAATCTGACTAAGAGAAAAAGAACCAGAATAAAGCATAACTGTTTTAGAACAGTAGAAGAAACACACTCAACAAACATCTATAAAAGACTGGACAACAGAGGCCATTATGTGTGTGCCCACCTCTGCAGAGCTACAGCCACGACAGCCCTAGCCAAAAAACAGTGCTCTCCCTGGGCACTACAATAGCTACAGAGAATGAGTATGCCTTGATTACCTTGGATTCTACTCTGTTGGACTGAGACTATTCTTCCATTTGGTCCTCGGTGCAAGAAATGCTATACCTATTCTTATAAATGCATCCACTAGAAGATGAATAGGATTTGGCCCACAATCTCACCCAATCTCAGCCTCACTTTTAAAACCACTTACATAGACTACATGACCACACAGCTGGGGAGTTCCAGTGGGATTAAGTGGTGTGTTAACTACTTCTCTATGAGGCATTAAAGGTCAAAATCGTTGGAGAAATCCATTCCCTCTCCAAGTATGATCTATTGTCTGCCAGACACCATCATTCCTGGCTGGGAAGACAGGTTCTGGCTGAGAAAGAAGGCCACTAATGTTAACCTTTGGACTCAACAGGACTGGGCCACACTGAAAAGATCTGCCTGAGCTTTTTGCCAAGTATAGTGCATGCCTTCAATCTCAGCACTCAGGAGACAGAGGTGAGCTCTTAGACAGCCTGATCAACATAGCAAGTTCCAGGTCAGCCAGAGCTACAATAGCAAGACCTGGTCTCAAAACAAAACAAAAACAAAATCTTTACTGGGCAGTGGTGGCAAACACCAATTCCAGCACTCCAAAGGCAGAGGCAGGAGAACCTGTGAATTCAAGGCCAGTCTGGGTTCCAGGACAACCAGAGCTATTACACAGAGAAACCCTGTCTCAAAAAAAAAAAAAAAAAAAAAAAAAAAAAAAAAAAAAAACCCTTGGGTTTTTTATTTGTTTTGTTTTGAGATTGGGACTCACCATATAGCACTGGCTGTCCTCGAACTCACTCTGCAGACCAGGCTGGCTTCCAACTCACAGAGATCTGCCTGCCTCTGCCTCCTGGGTGCTGGGACTGAAGGTGTGTGTCACTATATTGGCTACTCTTGAGTTTTAATTAGCTCACTATTAGTTTCTTAGCACCTTCAAGTTGAGGAAAGATGAAAGGCACATGAATAGCAAAGGGTTTTACTTGTTTTTTTAAGATTTTTAAAATCTTGCCAGGCAGTGGCACACCTTTAATTCTAGCACTCTCGGGGCAGACAGGTGGATCTTTACATGTTCCAGGCCAGCCTGGTCTACAGAGTGAGTTCCAGGACAGTCTCTCTACACAGAGAAACCCTGTCTCAAAAAATAAAACAAAAGTCAGATACAATAGTGCACATCTATAATCCTGCATTCCTACAGAAAGAATGGAAACAAAAGAATTGGTCTGAAGCTCCCATGCTGGAGTATACTGTGCAGCAGCAAAACAAGAGACACTTCTTCAACACAACTAGAGAACTACCAGGTTATTCTCTGACCTCCAATGTGACACACACATATACATACAAATAAATAAGAATGTTTAATTATTTATTACTAATGGGGGCACACATGCCATAATCACTGTAGAGAGGTCAAAGGACAACTTTCAGGAGTTGGTTCTTTCCTTCTACCTTTACATTGGCTCCAGGTATTGAACTCAGGTCAGGCTTGCAAAGCAAGCACTTTACCTGCTAAGCCATCTCACCAGATCCAAAATAAAATTTAAATTAAGAGCCAGTGAAATGACTCAGTCAGTAAAGGTGGTTACACAAATCCAGCAACCTAAGCTTGATCCCCAAAACCTATGTAAAGATGGAGAAAAGAGAATCCACAAAGTTGTCCTCTGATCTCCACACACCTACCATGCGCGCGCCCACACACACACACACACACACACACACACACACACACACACACACACACACACACACACACACACACCCACAGAGCAGGGCACAACTCAGTGGGAAAGGATCTAAAGGAATTGAACAGATGATTCAGTGGTTAACAGTGCTTCCTGCTCTTGAAGAGTACCTGAGTTCAGTTCCCAACACCCACATCAAGTAGCTCAATCGATCTGTAACACAACTCCCTGTAACATTCTTCTGGCCTCTACAGTCACCTACTCATACCCACACACAGACACAGACACACATACACACACACACACAATATAATATTAAAAATAAAACACATCTGCTGGGCAGTGGTGGCTCATGCCTTTAATCCCAGCACCTGGGAGGCAGAGGCAGGCGGATCTCTTTGAGTTGGACACCAGCCTGGTCTACAAGAGCTAGTTCCAGGACAGTCTCCAAAGCCACAGAGAAACCCTGTCTCGGAGAAAAAAAAAAAAAAAGTAAAAAAATAAAACAAATAAAACCACATCTAGTCAGGCCAAATAAAACCACATCTAGTCAGGCAGTGGTGACGGTAGCATACGCCTTTTCTCCCAGCCTTCAGGAGGCAGAGACAGGCAGATCTCTGAGTTCAAGGCCAGCCTAGTCTATAAAGTGAGCTCCAGGACAGCCAGAGCTGTTACACAGAGAAATCCAGTTTCATAAATAAAACTTAAAATTAAAAACTACTTCCCAAATAAATAAGAACACTACCACCACCACTGATAACAACTACAACAACAAAAATGACTTCCCAAACCCATCTTTGCATGGTCTTGGTCCAGGCATCTGTAAAGTAAAGGTGAGGCTGGGCATGATACAGCACACCTTTAATTCCAGCACTTAGGAGGCAGAGGGAGGAAGAGCTCTGTGAGTGAGGCCAGCCTGACCATATTTTTATATTAAAAAAAGAAAAAAGGCAACAACAACTGCCATGGCAAGGCCTAGGCATCAAGAGTTCTAGACATGGGGCTGGAGAGATGGCTCAACCCTGAAAGGCACTGGCTGCTCATCCAGAGGATCTGGGTTCAATTCCCAGCATCCATATGGCAGCTCACAACTGTCTGTAACTCCAGTTCTGATACCAATGCACATAAAATAAAAATTAATAATTAAAAAAGTTTAAAATATTAAAAAATAGTATTAGACACTAATCTTCAGAGATAGAGGATAGGCCATTTACTCTAATGTGACTAAAAATTTTCTGTGTCATAATCTGCTCACAAAGAACTAGGATGCCAACAAGCATGACAAGTACTCAAACAACTGGAAAATTAGGTAATAAAAAAAAAAAAAAAAATCAGGGGTAGTTCAAGCTTTCCTCCCTCAGTGAGGACAACCATTATGGAAAACCATAGCACCTTGTGTGTATGGAGTTTACATGTGCTTTTTGAGGAAGCTCTTGCTACGTAACGTTGATGGCCTTGAACTTGTAATGATCCTCCTGCTTCAGCTTTCTGAGTGCTGGAATTATGGTGCACACCACTTCTGGCTTCAGAGGCTTCTAATAAACTACCCTCAGGGTGAGGGTAGAGCGCATGGTCAGCATGCAGGGTCCTGTCCTAGGTATAATCCATACACCGCAACAAGAGAGCTACCAATCGTTTCTCGACCCCCAACTGGAAAGCTGTGTACTGAAGAAACACACCCATGTTCATGTTCACAGCAGTGTCATCCACAATGACCATTATACAGCCAACCTAAGTACCCATCAACAGGTAAGTGGATAAAGAAAGCACGGTATCTATAAATAATGAATAGTAGCCTTTAACATAAAGGGCTGGTGGATAGTAAGATGGCTCAGCAAATAAGGGTGTTTGCCACCAAGCCTGAGGACTTGAGTGGCATCTACAGAATGGAAGAACTGACTCCCACAAGACGTTCTCTTCTGCACATGCACTATGGACACACACCCACACCTATGTATACCCATACACAAAATAAATATCATTTTAAAAAGTTTAAGGAGGGCTTGGAATACAATTCGGTGGGAGAGGGTTTATTTGACACTCACAAAACAGGTTCAGTCCTTAGCCAGGCCAAAAACAAAAAGCAGAAAGGAGAATGACCATTGTAAAGTTGTAAAATGGGAAGAATGGACAAATGATGGTAGTATAAACTGAGTACTTAACATTTCAAAACTACTAAAATAATAAACTTCACATGTTCTCACCACAAAAATATTTGGCACAGTGAACATGTTAATTAGCTTGATTATATCACACAATTCATAAATTATGATATCATCCAATGTTCCAAAAATGTATATAATTAAGTATAAACTATCAATTTGCAGTACTTTAAGCCCTTCCTGTCCTCACTGAATCCTGGTGCCAATATCACTGGTGGCTTTCTGTGTCCTTTCAGTATGCTTTGGTACCTTGTTCCTGCTTCTAAGACCTAAGGAGCCTGTGTCCCCATGTCACTCATTTGTCTGCTGTAATATGATACCAACTTGCTCATTAGTACTCATGTAAATGTGACATTTTTCCACATGTTTTTCCGTTTTATTCTGACAACAATGGCTATATCTTACACAGGAACACCACCACCTGGCAGACAATCATAGAAGCAGTAATTTTAATTGCTAACTGGTGCAAAAACATTAAAAACAAAAAACACTTAAATGGAAAATCTGTCTTAGACCTAAATGTGAAAAATAAAGGGCAGCAAAAGAGAGACCCACCACTGACCTACCAAGTGCCTGCTATACATTCCCAGTGACTTTTAGGTTTTTTGTGTTTCAGTATTCCAGTCTGTCCTGGAACTCATTCTGTAAACCAGGCTGGCCTACAACTCACAGAGATCACCTGCCTCTGTCTGTCAAGTGCTAGGACTAAAGGTGTATGCCACCACTGCCCAACAGTGACTTACGTGTAATCCCTCCAGTAGTGCTTTGATCTTGTTTGTTTGAGACAAGATCTCATGCAGCCCAGGCTGCCCTTAAATTCCCTAAGTAGCCAAGGATGACCTTAAATTTCTGACCCTCCTGCTTCCACACTCAGAGTGCTGGGATTACAGATATGTGGTGCTGGGAATCAAGCCCAGGCCTTTATTTGCATGCTGCATAAGCACTCACTCTACCAACTGAGCCATA